CGCGCCGCCGCCGCCCGCGGCTCCCCCATTGGGCGATTCAAACCCTCCTCGTGACCCGTCCGCCGCGTCACAAGGCCCCGCCCCGCAACGGACCCCGTCGCCATAGTGACGCGAAGCGGCCCGGCCCAGCGCAGACCGGGAGCCCGGGGGCTGGCTGCCCCCGCAGGGGCCGCGGAACGCTTTTCCTCCGTCTAGGGTTTACACAGACGGGTATTTACACGGGTCACAGAGGGCGCCTCCACGCTCCCGGCTACGTACGTTCGAGATAATGCTTTTAAACCAACATCATTTGCTCGAACGTTGATCTTCTGCTACTGTGGAACGCACGTTTCAGCGCAGAACAGCTGCAACGAACGCCCACAGCAAGCCACAGACCAGCAACCTCGCTCCTCTTACTGCAAACATTTTCTTTCTCCCCTCTATGCCCGATCCGAACCGAGTTCGTAACTGCTCTTACAGCTGGGAAGAAACCACCCCCTCCCTCACCACCCGTGCTGTTCTGCCCAGCAAAGGTGCCCCCGCCGCCCAAGCGGCCGTGTCACAGACTGCCCGCAGCCCCACCGGCCCTATCCCCACAGCCCAGCTCCCCTCAAACCTGCCCCCTCCTCTGGGGCAACAGAACTCGTTTCAAGTTGACAATTAAGGAACCGCAAGCCTCGCGCTGCGCAGAGGATCGCTCCCGTTCCAACCGGCGGCGTCTCTCAGTGAGACAAACATCAGGTATTTCTACCTGGCGGGGCTCAGCAGACTTGGCATTGCACAGCGTTACCTGCAGCGATGGCTCCTAATCCCATCGCTACAACGGCAAATCCTTTGTTACTCTTGCACGGCAGAAACATCTAGAGATCGGCCGAGTGTGTGGATTGCTCTTAATCCTTCTTTTTCGGGAAAAAACAAAAACAAAAACACCCCAAAACCCACACACCTGATTTTCAGGGGTATTCCAGAGAGATTTCATGCAAGATAACTTCCAAATAACTGCTCTGCATTAGTGATTTCTGTGTAGGGTGTGCGTTCCAGGCGTAACGGGTAAGGCAAGAACTCACAGATCGCGCAAAGAGCACAGGAAGAAGCAAGCCTTTATCCCTGCAGACCGTACAGAATCAAGTACCGAAAGAACCGTTTACATGGAAGAGAAAGCATACAATCTGCCGAGTGCAGCATCGCTTCTGTCATAGGAAGGATGCCTTTCCCAGTACCATGGATTCCTCCAGTTCCCTCAGCACTGGGCTCACAGGATTCTATTGCTGGAAAAATTGTCATTTAAAAACTAGTATCCAGTGTCTCAGTCAGGAAAACACTTCAGATGACATGGATGAGTAGCAGAAGACAGCCTGAAGCAACAGCTGCTCAGACCTACCATATCGGATATGGCTGTAACACTTACTAGCCAAGAGCGGCTTGCTTTTACAGTAACCTGCTCCGAGAATGGCTCTCGCCTAGAAGAAGCCTATTTATTTACTGCATTCTTCACTTCAGAGCTTCTCCTTTCCAGCAGCGTCCAAGATCCCCTCCTGTCCTTCCAAATATCGTGTTCAAAGATACACACAGCCGGATCCCTTCTGCTCACTGACACTTGACATTCTCCACGGGACAGTCTCTGTGCCTGCACGTCAGGTGTGACCAGTCCGTTCAACTCTTAAAAAATAAATGCCGTTCCTTCTGAAGTTTGGGTTTTTTTTTTTTATCATGCAAGTACTTCAGGAAGGCAGCTGCGACTGGCATCAGACTGCAGCTTCAGCTCTTTGAATGACTTCTTCCATGCGCTGGTACCAAGGCTGAATCTTAGTGTGAACCATCATGTCGTCAAAGGCTTCCAGCCCTTCCATGACTCGGAGGACCCCGTACACCGCCTGTGCCAGAGGATAAAGATTAGAACAGCAGTGAAAGAGTCAGCAGTGCAGAACGGCTTAGGGTACCAATAAGTGCCTCAACAGCCTAGCCAGTAGCTCTTTCCCTGTCTACTCCACCACTCTGATCAGCAAGGAAGACTGAATGGCAGGAAGGCCGTTAAGAATACGCATGTTTTTCCATGAGAAAACTGTAAGAACAGATCAGGATCTACGTGCAGTTATGGGGCAAAAGTTAATCCCATCTCTGCATCAAGCCCTGGTGTGAAATACTTCACTTGCATTCCAAGGAGAACTGCTGGTGCAGGGGGTGAATCCTGCTCTGTTCTGCACTGCTGCCTGCAAGGAAACCCCAGCAGCACTGAATGCCATAAAGCCTGTGCAGGCGTGAGGCTTTACTCATGGGCCAGAGCAGGGTCCTGCCTTGTAACCTGCTTTTATCATGCTTCCACATGATCAGCAACATCCACCTGCGGGTTCCATCTTGTCCCCTTCATGTGGGAATTGTATTATTGCACAAAGGACATCGGCAATGTATCTCACGTAACTCATCATCTCTGCCTGTATTTGTGTGAACCATTTCACACAGATGAGCAACCGGATGATTTGTAACACACCTAATAACAGATACAGGAATTAACCCCTTACCAAGTCAGCAAGGTTCGGCTGGTTTCCACCCATGAACAGTCGATGTTTGCCAACAGCTTTTACCCACTCATTAACTGCTTCATACAAGTCTTCTCGGACATTATCTTGAAGGTGATGTCTAGATAAAGAAAAGAACCAGTTTGAAGACACTGGTTTGTTCCTTTAACCTTTTATCATTTCTCATCTTACAGGCTGGTCTTTGCCTGGGAATTAGGAAGGTATTTGAGAGTGAAGGGGGCAGTTAGTGATCAAATAGTAGAGGAGTAGAGGGGTGCAGTACCTCCACTTAAAGTAGTACAGCTGTTACTCACATTGGATTAAACCGTTTGGTTTAAAACCCTGAGGATCTGGGGTTCACAGCTAAGGAGGTTAAGGAGCCATCCCCCTCTTGTGTACTTGGTGCTCAGTGGTACCAACCTTTTCTTCAGCCTCTTGCTAATGAAGAACATGGCGACAGCCCCCAGGTACTTGGCAAAGAAACCTTCCACGGTGCCAAACTTCCCCTCACGGACAATGTAATCAAAAGATGCCAAGGCTTCTCTGGGGGTACGGTAAACATTGGGGGAGATGAGGTGAACAAGCCAATCGTCTGCCCATTTTCTCCACTTCATTTCTTCCCTGCAAGCATTCAAAAGAAAGAAACTTTTCAGTGAATGAGGTACAGATTGCAGGGCTACAGGAGGCAGGCAGAATCACAGCGGCATTAGCCAGAGGTTCTGCCAAGGACAAATGTGTCAAGAACTCCTGCCCAGCCGTGTGCTCTGGTGACCTTTCCAAAATGCACTCAGGATCATTATCTTTGGCAAGGCTCCTCCAATCTCAAACTAAAATTAAGACTAAGATAGAGCACTAGCTTCTCCTCCCCATATGAGAACTAAAGCAGAAAGGGAAACCAGCATTCCATAGCACTCCCCTGCGACAGAAAGGAAAGGCCAAGGAGGAAACTGGAGGCAACTGAAGGCTAGCGTGACCATGATGGTGGTAACTAGGCCACCTAACAGCCTTGTTTCAAATTACATAAGAAACACAGAAAACCACTCCAACTGCTGAGGTTTTAAACACTAAGGGGGGTGTGACAGGATTTGTCAGCACCAGCAGGATTTTATATCTACACCATCCCCGTGTACATCTGGCTGTGACCCCACTTGGGAAGCCCAGAAACTTAAGAGCACTTACACTCTCACTTCTTTGACAGGATAGACTTGCTTTGTCTCCTTCTCATCCAGCATGAGCCAGTATTTATTCCCATACTCAAATACCTCCTTGCCTTGCTCAGTTACAGTTTTCATAGGAGGATAAAAGGACACAATCTCTTCTAAGCTATTCCTCCTGCGGACAGAAACACGGTTAGCACCTGATCTGGCTGCTACAAAAATGAGCAAGAGCAAAGGACAGATTGAAATAAACACACTTTAAAATATATTATTCGAAAAATAAGTGCACAATGTTCCAAATTCTATTTGAAATTAATTTTGAAAAGAGACTGGAACAGCTACTTCCAAGTAACTATTATTAGTGTACATACCTTTCTCTGTGTCAGAACAGAAATTTTTGCAGGCATAAAACTACCTACCATTCTCAAGTGCTTCATAGCACAGACCTAAAGGACAGGCCACAGGCGCAGCAATTTCATTTCATTCTAGATGTTCTAACTGGCTAAATGTAAGCTTAGTTCCAGGACTAACACTAATCCATGTTTAAGTAGGTTTTGTGCAAAGAGAATCTCACAGGTAAAGAGGAGTAGTTCTGAAAGGTAAAAGCTTTGCTCCACTGCATACGCATCACAACATATACAGGTAACATCCATGTTATCAGAGCCAGGCTCAGGTCAGCCAAACACCCAGCGCTTCAGAGACCAAGCTCAGCAAGGTACTTATGACCGACGCAGAGAGCGCCATCTCAATCTCTAGTTCACTAGGGCAATTCACATTCAACTCTTT